TCGCCATCGTGGATATGTTGTCAACGACCAATGATCCAGGAACAAGCCCCCATGTAACCCGGGGACCTCAGCTCTAACACTAGGGGATGATGTGTGAGGTGCGGATTAACTAATAACGACGGATTCTGGTCGGGTTGACAGGCTTAAGAAGTCACCCCTATAAATAAAAACACAAGATGTAAATATGATGAATTTGAAGTAAAAAACAAGACAACATAACTGTAAACGTTCTAAATACAATAGTAAATACACAACATAAATGATGCAACCGAGAGAGAGAGAGAGAGAGAGAGAGAGAGAAAGAGAGAGAGAGGGGGGGGGGGTAACGTCCACTCGACACAAACTAGGTCATTTCGGGACTAATATATGGGTTAATTTTATTTCAATAATTCGCTTGCGCGTAGGGGTCTTTAGCAGTGGGAGGAAACCGGAGGACCCGGGGAAAACCCACGAGGTTGGACAGGCGACCCTACTCCTTGTCAAGTACAACCGGAGATTCGAAACCACGCCAGTTGACTCAATAACAGGCCTTTTGATACAGCGCACACGTGCTAACCATTCGGTCATCCACCCCCCCCCCCCAATGCAACTTAGACAGAGCACAATGTAATATGATTAACATATTAACCCATAAAAAACAGCATCAATAGTTAAGCAGGGACTATATACGGTTACGAAGACAACTAATTTAACATTGATTTTTTGGGCCATACACAAGTCACTGGGCTGATTAATGTGGCCATTTGTTCTCAACCAAGGAAGTGAACAACATTAATACAAATGCACAGGACTGGAACACTAAGGGGTTAATGTGTAACAAGCTGAATTGTCAAAATTGCAATAGTAGGTAATAAGGGTTAAACATGGGCAAGAATAACATTTCTCTAATCCCCTGTAACAATATTGCAATACAATGCCAACAAAATATTGGAACATGTACATGTACACAAAGCAATTGTAAAATAAAACCATGGAGGAACCACAGATGATAAAACATATTCAGACGACGATTTACAATTAACTAAATGCACTGTTTTCTACCCACAAGATAGCTTTCTAAAAGATTTAATGTTAATGCAGAGCCACAAATACCGAATTTAAAATTAAGTCTACGTAAAAGAATAGAAGGGTCCACCGTGTCGAAAGCAGCAGATAAATTTAATAAAATTAAAAATTAATGCAGAGCCACAAATACCGAATTTAAAATGAAGTCTACGTAAAAGAATAGAAGGGCCCACCATGTCAAAAATGTCCATTTTCTATTATCAATTTCAATTAAAATATGTTCCTGGTTTCACTTTGTTGCACCTTGTGAAAGCTCCAAAATCAAAAGTTATCTGCCGATCTGTATGAAATTTATATGCGTCATTTAAATTAGTAAAGAGAAGAATCTTATTGAATTTCAGCAATTTCCGTATAGAGTTATAGCCCTTGTTTCACTTTGTTCAACCTTGTAAACCTTCTAACACCAAAAGTTTTTATCCGATCTTTGTAAAATTTATATGCATTAAATTAGTGAACCGAAGACGCCTATTGAATTTCAGCAATTTCCGTTTGTTACGTCTAGAATTATGGCCCTTGTGAACACTCCAACGCCAAAAGTTACATCTGATCTGTATGAAATTTATTTGTATCGTTTAGTAAAAGGACGAATCCCATTGGATTTTAGCAATTTCCGTTAATTACGTCTAGAGTTATGGCGCTTGTTTCACTTTATTCGATCTGTATGAAATTTATATGCATCATTTAGAGTAGTGAAACGAAGAAGTCTATTTAATTTCAGCAATTTCCGTCAATTACTTCTAGATTTATGGCTCTTGTTCAACAAAGTTATCCTCCAATCTGTATGAAATTTGTATGCATTATTTAAATCAGTAAAACTGCCAAATTTCAACAATTTCTGTAAATTATTTCCAGAGTTAAGGCCCTTGTTTCAGTTTGTAGAACCTTGTGAATCCCTAATTATAATCTGATCTGTATGAAATTGTCTAGTAAATGCCCCCAATTATCTACTGAAGAATAAATATGCGAAAACCCTTGTCGACCACACGGACGATTTAGCTGCTGTGGGCGTATGTTTCGTTGCCTGGCAAGCTATCTTTAATGTTAACTGTAACACAGCGTTCCATATCTGAAATCTGTTAGAGCACACATCGGTAAAGTCATAAACTAAGTGTTTATTGAATTTGAAAAAAACCCTGTTTGCATAATTGATACATGTGCGCCCATTTTCAGACTAATTCTCAACAAATTCAACTACTACTCTCGGTGCTTTATAGCACAGGAATAATCCGTGTTGGCAAATAAAATGCCCCCCCCCCCCCCGTGATAAACAAGGGTGATGCAAATAGATGCTCGCGGCGAGGAATAGTTTTTCTTCGGATTAGAATGTTTTGAAAGGGATTTGAAGCAAACGTTTTATAGATATTCAATTGTTTGAATATGTTTTTAGTCTAATTAATATATGATCAAATTACACAGTTTGTAAACGGGAAGGCATCTTTAAAAGTTATGGAATGGATATATTGCGTGTTTTATATTTATGAAAAAAAAGATTCAATGATTTTTATAAAGCAATTATACCGCACGACACAAACATACAACTAAAAGAGAACCATTTTCCGTACCAACTGGCGCCTAATTATCTTTACATGTATGTTTCAGGCAAGGTGTTAAGATAACAAAAAGGTGTTTATCACCATGTGTGTAGATGCATTCATCTGGGCCCGATTCTTAAACACGTTCTTGTGCTTAGATTTTAAGTAGACTTTGCATTTAAGTAAACTTATCTTATTTTGTGTTCCCAGAAAATTCTTAAGAACATTCTTGTGCTTAGATTTTAAGTAGGCTTCAGTGTAAGCACAAGTATTATTATGTGTTCCAAGAAAAAACTTAAGCACAACTTCGTTCTTAAACATTATCAATCTAAGCACAAGTCCCAAGCAAATGCTTACCAACCTTAATCCCGTCATTTCAATCAAGATGGCTGACCGTAGAGTTATTCGACGGCATTTCCTACATCTTTTGATACCAAAAAGACAATTAAAAGACAGCAAATCCTTTAGAAACATAATTATTCTCGAGAAGAATATAGAAAATTTCGTTTCTGCCCTGAAACCATTTTATTTATTTGTCAATTAGTAAACAACACAAACACGGGCTACTTTAAGATCAGGCACTCTCACAATTATTCAGTCTGTTTGCATGCGCTTGTGGTTGTTTTTTTTTTTAACTTGTGGCACATTTTATATATAGGGGTCATGTAAATGCATCTAAATCGACCATTTGCCGGGAAGCAGCCGACCAATTTATGACGTAATTCGCATACCAAAATTGTTTTTATGACGTTAGAGAGCATCGTATTCTCAGTTTACCAGTCACAATGTTGTGCTTAGACTCATACTTGACTTGTGCTTACGTAAGAATGGTCTTGGGAATTTTCTAGAGACGGTATTTTATAATGTTTCTTACGTAAGCAAACGTGAAACATGACTTTGTGCTTACTTTAAGAATTTTCTAGGAACCGGGCCCTGGCCTCCACGGTCGCACAGCTCCCATTACCACACAGAACAAACACAGTACATCCCATATGAAGATTATGTAATGGTATAATTTAATCTCCAACATTTCAACTTTTACAATATACAAATATCACTTACCAATCATCTGTTAGTTTATTTTTACAGAAATTGGAAGCCACGGTGGTTCATTGATTAAGGCATTCACTCACTTACCAGGAGGTTCGATCCCGATGTGGGTCGAGAAAGTTCTCCGGATTTTTCCAGCGTGTTTCCCATTGTCAGTGGGTGCAGGACGGAGGGCCTGGCAAGGTCAGCGTCTAGTCATTCGAGTGGGACGAAAAGCCGAGGCCAAGTGTACACACTGGCGTGCACGTAAAATAACCCTTGCAGTTGGAATTCTAAATAAGAGTAAGCCATAGCACAGCTATACGGGCAAAATGTCCCCCATTGCACACTGGCGTATGTCCGTCTTCGTTCGCTCAGTCAGTGCAGAAAAGTAAAAAGTTAAACCCCATTTCATTAACATAAATTATTGACCTACTCGACTGCAATATGCCATTACATATTTACACATATTACACATATTCACTGGTGTATTGTTCTACTCGTAATACGAGACACCCGTCTTCATTAAACCCATTCATTTATAGGAGACACGGGACACTAGTATCAGAAGACGATATTTTGTACTTGGGTTGTGATTTCGTAAAAGAAGGATTTATTTTATTGTAATATACACATAGAATGTTTGGTCTTGGTTCTAAAACACCTAGTTATGTTATTGTGTAAGATAACACAAAATACAAATAGATTCGTTGTATTGTGATAAGTACTGATGTATTTCATTATGTGTGTGAAGCAGTAATTCGTGTGGACTGCTTCTGTATAATATGGTAAATATGGATTCTGGATCGAAAATCTCATTAACAATACCCAGAGATATTATTACGTAATAAAAACGTACTCAACATCCTGTGACCAGGTTAATTAATAGACGACCTTCAAATGATATCTATTAATTAGGACACGACTGGTTCTCTATATAAAATAAAACATCTAATCATCACATCGATACGCTCATTGCATGCCGGTCTTTTCAATATTTCATTAAAACATATTACATACCCACACGAGGTCTCACTAATTGCATTTTAAATGAACCAGACTGTGATAAGGAAAAGGTTAGAAAAGATCGTCGAAAACAGTTTACATAAACATACATTGGTTGTTATTTTTTATACATAGTTTGACATTAATCTGACCTTTCAAGTTTGGAATATTATGATAGATTCAAATCTTCGATGGCTGTTTTAGAAAATGAAAACAGTTATAAACCTAGACAGTCCTAATAATGAAAACTATCCTTGATGATAAACTGGTAAGCATCGCTCTTGATTAGCAATTTTTCATGCAAGTCGCCGTGACAACCGACAATAGCTATTTTTATTTTTCCAATTATTTTGTGGCATTTTAGTGATAGTTTGTTAAGCGAACGACGTATTGACAATATTGTTTGGTTTACGACCAGCAGCTGTTATGATTATAGGGATATTTGGTTAATGTGGATTAATACCACAGCTCTGCGATGTATGTAGAAATCGTTCCTCTGGAAGGTAAGCCTTTAAAATATCTATTATTGAATTTTGTTCTTCGATATTTATTTCATCCTCGAATCTCTCAGGTATGTTTGAAATATAAAAAGGTTTACAATTAGAATTGTTGTGCAATAGACATTTTCAATTATTGGCAATTCTAATGGTTTTCTCTCGTCTAATGCAACATTGGGATGAAATAATAATGAGATGGCATGCCTTGCTTTGATTTCAGGTTACCTAATATGATATGGACTATGAAGCACTGTTTACTTTTTAGTTTTAGTTGCGTACTAATGGGCAATGTATCGATGTTATACCATTTTACTTAGATAAATATTTAAGAAAGAATAGTAAAGGCTAAATCAGCATTAATGAAAAAATCTTATTTACTGGAAAACAAAAAGAAATGAAAGACACCATATTTACCCAAATAGCCTTACAATCCCCATATGGCAGGGAGAAAACCCACTGGGTTAAAAGGAAGGTAACTTTTATTAGTAGGGAGTTCCGACTCCCAACTCCCGACTTCATATTAGCCAGAGTGCACCAAATTATAGGATGTACGTGTTAGCCGTGTGGAGAAAAGACATGTTAAGTTATTAAAATGGTTTCTCCCTTACATACCGCACCTTTAACATTCATTTCTAGAGACAACTTGATTTGAAGCTCAAACCAGAAAATGGATGATTCCTTAATGTTGTTTTTATACGCCCACACTTTCATATGGACGTATATTGTCGTCACCCCTGTCCGCCCGCCCACAATTGTTTGTGGGCACTCTACAGGTCACAATTTTTATCCGATTTCAACGAAACTTGAAATATAGGTTTATCTCCTTAAGATCTCGGATCCTTTCGATATTGGCATGTGTAGGACCGTAACACTTCATGGATTATGGCCCCTGATTGTACGAAAAATCGCGTTTTTAGCTAGTGCACCCTATAGAGGTCACAATTTTCATCCGATTTTGTTGAAAATTGACATGTAAGTTTATAACTCAAAGATCTGGGTTCCTTTCGATATTCGCGCATATCGACCCGTGACTTCCTGAATTATGGCCCCTGATTGTACGAAAAATCGCGTTTTTAGCTTGTGGACCCTATAGAGGTCATAATATTTGTCTGATTTAAAAAAAAAAAAAAAAAACGTTTCAATATATCACCGTTACACCCTAAGGATGGTTGAGTACGAATTTCGTGAAAATTGAAAATCGGCCCAAAACTGACAGACAAAATGGCCGCCCCTCGTACTCAAATAGCGTAAAAATATGGTATATTAAGGTTGTGGACCATCTAGAGGTAACAATTTTTATCCGATTTTGTTGAAACTTGAAATGTAAGTTTATAACCCAAAGATCTCGGTTCCTTTCGATATTCGCGCATATTGGACGCTATAGCGGTCATAATTTGTATCCGATTTTAAAACAAAACGTTTGAATATATCACCGTTACACTCTAAGGATGGTTGAGTTCGAATTTCGTAATAATCGGACCAAAACTGAAAGGCAAAATAGCGTAAAAATATGGTATATCAATTTTTCGAACAATCAAGAGCCATAATCCAGGAAGTTACGTTCGGATATACGTGATTATCAAAAGGAACCAAGATCTTAGTGTGTAATGGTGATATATTCCCAAGTTTTTTTTTTAAAATCAGATAAAAATTGTGACCTCTACATCTACCGCAAGCTAAAAATCTGATTTTTTGTACATTCAAAGGCCATAATTCAGAAAGATACAATCCGATACGCGCGAATATCGAAAGGAACCACGATCTTTGGGTTATCAATATGAATTGCAACGTTCATCAAAATCGGATAAAAATTGTGACCTCCAGAGGGTCCACAACCTTGATATACCAGATCATATACACTATTTGCGTACGAGGGGCGGCCATTTTGTCTGACAGTTTTGTCCCAATTTTCACGAAATTCGAACTCAACAAACATCACGGTCAAACGGTGATATATTCGAACGTTTTTTGAAATCGGATAATAATTGTGACCTCTAGAGGGACCACAAGCTAAAAACGCGATTTTCCTTACAACCAGGGGTCATAATTCAGGAACGTACGATCCGATATACGCCAATATCAACAACAAACAAGATCATTGGGTTATAAACAGTATTCACAAGCTTTGTAAAAACGGTTATCCGCACGTGTAATAGTAAACCTGGAAATCAACACATTACTTTAGAAATAAAAACCCAACCCCAATCAACCCAGCATTTAAATGACACGAGTCTTGTTGTTACCTTAAATTTTGTGTGTCTTGAATTAATGATAGGTAACAATACTAAACCTTTAACAATTAATCATTTCTGTTGAAAAGTTTGTTTGAATGGTGAAAATTATCCTGAATACCTTGTCTTTACCCTTACATTCTAGTACTACTTATATTAAATGCTCATTTTTTAATTGAATATATGGTTATCAGTTAGCTTAATTATACATAAACGACTTAAACTTACTACTTAACCTACATCAATTGTTCATATTATGGCAAGATTAACTTGCACATATGGTGAAAGGACAACTTGTATATAAATAAACAACTCACCTTGTATACCTATCACATTACCTATATCAATTGATCATTTTTTATATAAAACCTTTGCTGGAATATATGGTGAAATAAAAGATAAATTAACAACTTACCCTGTATACATGTACCCCCCCCCCCCCCACACACACACACACACCACTTTACCTATATCAGTTGATCATTTTTTATAAGAAAGACAGAAAGAAACTTTATTGCATAAAACAACCTTACAAGGTTATGTGCATATACAAATAAACATAATAGAAAGATACATGAAACAAAAAAAGGATACATACATTGACATAATTATACCAAGATAGAATATATGGCGAAATAAAATATGATTTAACAAATTACCCTGTATACTACATGTCCCCACCCTACTCACACCACTTTACCTATATCAGGTGATCATTTTTATAGATAACCTTTGTTGGAATATATGGTGACATATAATTTGAATTAACAACTTACCTATTATACATGTAACCCCCCCCCCCCCTAATAACACAACACACACTTTACCTATATCAGTTGACAATTTTTTTTTTTTAAATGATTTGCTGGAATATCTGGTAAAATACGATATGAACTAACAACTTAGTACCTTCCACCTCCCCCCCCCCCCCACACACACACACTTTACCTATACTATTCAAAAAAAGTAGGGGATATTTGATTTTGGGGGCATAATACTAAAATATGCAAATGACTACGAAAAAAGTCACTATAGAACCTAACAGAAGAAACATTTCCAGTTACATGTGACGCCCAAACGCACCAATAGCTACCGCATGGAATGCAGGTGATGCTTGGGATCATCATGGGGGTCCAACCCAAGATTTGCACGACTCTGACTTTGAATGTTACAGTCATTGTGGCATTGAATTCCAGGGTGGAAACATCAGTTTAATTGTTTTAGTGACCAGAAAACAAATTTTGATATGCGTCCGCTTACCCAAAATGAAAGGTTACGTGCCCTTGGCATGCTACAGATCGGCACAACACAGGCGGTTGTGGCGCGGACGATGAATGTTTCTCAGTCTGTCATAAGCAGGCTATGGTCCAGATACCGTGATACACAATCTGTACAGGACAGACCACGCTCAGGTCGACCAAGGGCGACAACTCAAGCCCAGGATCGATTTATCCGTACCTTGGCCTTGAGAAATCGTGTCATCACAGCAAATCAGATCAGCGCTCGTCTTCAAACAGACACTGGTGTGAGAGTGAGTGGCCAGACGATTCGGAATCGACTGCAAAGGGGTCACCTTCGCGCCCGACGTCCTCGCGTGATCCCTTGTTTGAGAGTTCATCACATTCAGGCAAGACGTCGTTGGTGTAGGGATCGTCAACACTGGGATAATCGACGCTGGAGCAATGTGATGTTTTCAGATGAGTCAAGGTTCACTGTTGATTTTTTGGACAGACGTAGGAGGGTGTGGCGTCGTCGAAACGAGCGCTTCCAAGACGTTAACGTCATCAGACATGATCGATTTGGGGGTGGTTCTGTTATGGTGTGGGGAGGCATCACTGTTGCTGGAAGAACGGCTTTACATGTTGTTGCAGGGCGTGTTACAGGCCAGTACTACCGGGACAACATCTTGGCAGTCCATGTTGTGCCGTTCGCACGACGTCATGGCCGCCGTTTCATCTTCCAGGATGACAACGCAAGATGTCACAGGGCCAGGATCGTTACAGTTTACCTCCAACAACAGAACATCACCACATTACCTTGGCCAGCACTGAGTCCCGACCTCTCCCCCATCGAGCATGTCTGGGACATGCTTGGACAGAGGTTACGTCAACGTCAACAACGTCCTGCCAATGTCCAAGAACTTGCTGCTGCGTTGCAACAGGAATGGGACAATCTGGACCAAAATGACCTTAGACGTCTCATTAGGAGTATGCCACGTCGGATCAATGCTTGTTTGGCAAACGGAGGAGGATTTACCCGTTACTGACTTGGTTGTGATGCTGTGGTAACTTTGCTTTTTGACCCCGGGTATCATTTTACCCTTATAATGGTCAGTCTGTGCCTTACTTAGTCTAACGATCATTTGGAATAAATCGATGAATGTGAACTTCATTTCATTTTGTCATTTGTTTCTTCGTCAGTTTCATTAGGTGACTTTAATAACACTTAAAAATCAAATATCCCCTACTTTATTTGAATAGTATATATCAGTTGATAATAATTTTTTTTTTTTAAATTTTTTTACCCCCCCCCCCCACACACACACACTTTACCTATATCTGGTAAAATACGATATGAACTAACAACTTAGTACCCCCCCCCCCCCACACACGCACACTTTACCTATATCAGTACGATATGAACTAGCAACTTAGTAGCCCCCCCCACCCCACACACACACACACTTTACCTATATCAGTTGATCATTTTTATAGAAAGTTTTCCTTAAATGTATGATAAAATATAATATTAATGAACGAGTTACCTTGTATACCA